TGAGCAAAAAACCATTACATCAGACATCAAAAGCTGAAAAAAAGAGAAAGTGGTCTCCAGAAATGCAATATTTTTAAAATAACACAGAGATGAATTTCGCTGTATTTTTGTGCCTTTGTATCTTTGGCTGTTGGAGGGAAACATAACCCTGCTGTCTAGTCTAAGTGAAAGTCAATATACGTAGGTTCTGTGTCTGGCTTTTCCCTTTTATTTAAACCTGAACTCTTAGGAATGGGACTACTCTGAAGCATCTGGACGACCTATAATCCCTGATAAAAGACAGTAGAGGAAGAACTTTTTATGCTTTCAGTATCTGAGGGTCTTCATACAGGAAGGAAAACAAAAAGATGTCATCTATTTAATTTTATTTACATAAATGGATATTCCAGAAATGACTAGAGCTTGCTGAAAATGTTTTGCTGTTCTTTGTGGGGAAGGGATGCAAAATGAAATTGGGAAAATGTAGGTATTGCAAAAATTTGTCAACTTCCCATTGGAAAAAAAAAAAAAAAAAAAGAATGCACCTAATTTATTACATGCTTATTTTACATTTGAATTGTTGGAATATTAGTGCCTGTTCTCCTTAATTACATCTGTGTCTCAGGGGAGCTGCAGTTCCCTTGGTTTATGACAAGTTCTTTCTCTGGTCTGAACTTTTGTTGTGACTGGATTGTGTCTATGTCATCCCTGAGTGATCTGGGTTTCTTTACCACAGTAAAATTTGGATAAAGTAGTCTGAGTGGGCTATAAAAGACTGACAAAGCATAACCTCCTTAAAACATAACTTTTAGAAGACACAGTAAGGACCCTGGTGGCCACTGTGGAACACCAAACAAAATGGTTTGAATCAAAATTTCATCCCAAAGTGATATGTTATTTATTATGCTACAGCTCAAACAAGATGTTTAGACATTTCCAAACCCCCTCCTTATTTTTCATTTGTATTAATAAAAGGTTAATATCTTGCTTTTCAGGCTAATTTGAGGTGCTGAGAAGCGTTTTAACGTATTATGATATTAATACATAATATCATAATTTCTAGTGGGATGAAAATTCCAGTTTTTACCAGCTGCTAATGGCCTCTAGAGAGGTTCGGGCTGATGAGGTTTGTGATGTCAAACAGCTGTAGATGAAAATATGAGAAACAGTTGACAATAACTAAATAATACAAATGTAAAACTACAAATTTGAGACAAGCACATAATTGCCATGGTATTATTTCATATGATTTTTATGTGATATTAAATACCATTAAATTGTCACAGTCTTAGCAAAGTCAAAATAGGAACATACTAATCTGCAGATTTATATTTCAGACAGTAGAGAAATAAAACAACACAATATTTAGTTAACATGAACAAACTTCTGATGTTTATCTTTTTTTTAATGTGAAATTGATTAACTCAAAAAAAGGTAATTTATTGAGTTCACCCAGCAATTTAAGGTGAACAATTCACATAAATGACACAATTGTACCCCCTTTTCTTGTGTATGAATTATCTCAGAGCAAGCTGTGGAATTTTGAAGTGTACCTGTAATTAAACATATTTGCTGAACAATTCTAAATCTGCAGTTTATTTGCAAAAGCTTTATATACAAATTCAATATTCAAAATTCAAGCTGCTTGATTAGGTCAGTAGGCACATAATATGTTTCTATCTCAGAAGCTTGATTCTTCATATCAAAAATCTGATATGAATCATTCAGAATTTGCTTTTTGCAAATACTCCTCAATAATATGCTCAAAATTGGTCAAACAATATTGTTAGTACCTCTATTCAGCAGAATAGTTACAGAAAGCAAACAGTACCCAGCTCAAATTACTAAAAATGTCCATGTATGTTTCCAGTGAAAGGAAACCTGGTTGATAAATGGAATTGAATAGCATAAAAGAACAAACTATATTTACTTACTTAGCTTTTGAAGGAAGAATGATATTAATAAACCTGCAATACATGTAAATCCCTTAAATATATATGAGTAACTCATATTGCTACTCTTACTTTTTTTTTTTTTACCCAAACTCATTGTTTATCTGAATTTTAAATATAAAATGAATGTATATTTACTTGTGGAGGCTGGATATGTTATATTTATCTGAATTATTTTGATCCTTAATTTGGAAGATATACATTTTTCAGCTGCTAAACTATACACTAATATGGGATAGCTGCTTACCAAAGCATTTTTTCAGTGCAACAGAAAATACAAACAGAACAATTAAACCATTGCTTCAGTGGGAGCTGAAGTGCATACAGCTAATAAATATATGGAGCTTATTCTCTTATATCTTCATTGTCTGAGTTTCTTTCCTTTTACTGGCAGGCTTATAGAACTACAAAAGCCATGAAAACTCAATGTTAACTTAAAAGTGCAACCTCTGTTACTTTAATATTTTTGTTCTGTGTATCAAGGCATTGTTTACATTAGATAATGAAATGGAGATGGGGCAGAAAACACACCTCTGAAAGACCTTCTACACAAAAGGACGAACACGTAGTTCTTTGCACAAAGCATTAGAAAATACTGTGATATTTTATTATTAAAAATGCTGCTGAAAAGTTTATACATATGTGTCCAGCCATATATATCTTCTATCATTACTTAAGGCAAAAACAAAAAATTGCAAAACAATAACAGAAGAAACCATTAAACCCTGTGTGCCTCTTAAGGTCAAGAATATAAGCCTGGGAAAGTACTTTTGTTTTTCTTTTACAGTTTGCAAAGTATATTTTGATTTCATTATTATAGAATTCTATGAAGACCCTAGAAATCTGTTCCCTCTATAAATCATACATCAGTCCAGATGTATCAAATTATTAAATCAACTTGATTGTAATTACTTTTAAAAGCTAAAATCATTCACTTACAGGAACTGTTTTTTTACCCAAATGTCACAAGCCTGACACAGTACTGTACATATTGCTAGCAGAAGACAATTGGAAGTACTAAACAAATACTGTAATTCACATTACAAACATACCCAACTGATTATGATGCCAAGCATCATTACCTTTTTTATTTTTTTTCCTTTTTTTCTTTTTTTTTCTTTTTTTTTCACCTTTTTTTGTTAAGAGTTATGAACTGCTGCATCTCAGCTGAGGCATTACATAGGTGGTGGAAATGGCCTGGTATAGAGTCAGCGTTAATCAATATTATGTAATGGATCAGTGAAAAAAAAAAAAAAAAAACAAACCAGTTTTCCATTTGGTACTAGTTGTACTTTGGGGTTCTTGCTTCATGACATTCCAACCTGAGCATCCAGGTCAGGTTTATAGCACATTATTACAGATGAAGGATTTTATCAGCCACATGTTGCATTTTTATCATGTCATTAACTTTCTTCTGATTTCGTTCCTTCAGAATCTGTTTTACTGCCTGCTACAACAAGGAGTTGTGCAGATGAATAGACCTCAGTGAATCACCTTGTCTTTTATTTTATTTGTAAGGGTGACTATTCCAAGACATTTTATTAGAAAACAAAAAGCATTGAAAACAAGAAGAGGTACAAGGCATCTTGTGTTAGATACTTATGGGACATATGATATTGATGCAGCTTACTTGTGAATTGATAATAGAAAATACATCTGGCATAATCATGTTCAAGTGCAGACCAATTTGTTCAAATATCTTTGGTTACTATCTCTCGATGATGGAGTAACTTTCAAAGACAAAATATAAAGCAATCTTCATCTGCAAGAACTTATTTCTAGCTTTTCACATTCAAATCAGTTGTTTGAATCAAACGGCTAAGTTCCTTTGTTTCATAGCTCTGCTTGGCCCCTGGTTTCCTAGTGAAGGAACGGCAGAAGGGAATAATCAGCTGACAATTTTGCCCTTCCTGAGAGTGATGCTCTCTGGGATTTTCGGCCTCTGCTTCTTTTTCCTTAACGTTCACTGACTATGGGACTGCTGTGTAATAAATCAGCAAAAAAAGTATTTTTTGACAGGTATGCTCTCAAGCACAAAACAGGATAATGGGCAGAGAAGTTCTTTACACACTGATCATTTCTGAACAGTTTAAGAAACAGCCAGCCAACCAACCCACCATTTCCCCACTTTCAAATTGTGATTTTATTTCATTTAGCAAAGCTAAGAAGGTGCTTTCTCAGCTGAGATTCCGCTGCAACTGCTGGTGAATATAGAGCTAGTTTTCCTCAGAAAAGGCTGACCAAAACACAGGCTTTCTTTGCTTTTGTCAGGGCACAAAACTCTTCCTAATGTACCACAATAACCAAGAACTACGAACTGGACTCTGAATATATATTATTGGATGTTTCTTGGTTCATTTCAACAAGCTTAAAATAGTAATTATTTTCTTTTGTGTTTTTTTTTTTCTCCATTTTCCAATTCATTGCTGTGTTGCAATTTAACAAAGGCTAACACAAAATTAAATTATAGAAAAAAAGTTTCAAAAAAGAACAACAATCTCCTATGAATACTTTAACATGCACTAGTGTAACCTGTAAGAGAAAATACGCAGGTCACACAGACAACTGTATCCTCTGCATGACACCATGGCCTCATATAAATGAAACATGTTAGAAAAAACTCATGGTTTTTGTTTACCACTAGTAATTAAGAAGAAATTCCTCCTTTGGGCTTGGAGGAAACAGAGGTGATATGACTAATGTATATACACATAGGTCACAACCGAATGCACAATCTTTCTAAAAGCTCTTTTCAAACTGAAAACATCAATAAAAGCTTCTTCTTTTTCTTTTTGTTTTTAAACTCACATCTATGTACATTTTTACAAAGTTTCTTTAAATATAGTTCAGGCTGGCAAGTCATCTCTTTGCACAGAACTATACGTATTTTACTGCATAGTCAGTCCTCCTCTTTTTTTTCATTTTTGTTTTTAATAATAAAATTCTATTTCCCCCATCTGGATTACAGCTTCATACGCTGGGTAAAAGCCCGTGGTGATGTCTTTGTTTTAACAAGGGCCATTCATGGTATGGCACATAAAGAATTTTTTTTAATTATTTTATTTATTTAAAAAAAACCCAAAACACCTGTACAGTCACTGGCTCTGTGTTCCAGAAGACTCTGCTTTGCTTGTTACACTCAAAACACCATTTTAAGTGACTTCTTCTGGCCTCAACTTTCAATCAAAGTGGCTGAGATCTTAAAGCAGTATCGTAACAGCAATGTACACTTTTCACATTTCACAGGGTTTGTAGTTGATCTTTAACATCAGAGAGTTTCTGTGGGAAGGATCGATAAGAAAATAATGACTGTCCTTCTCTTTTAGTTGTTTTTACTTTATATTTTGACAAGGCGTTCAATGGATGGTATTATAACTTTTTCCTCTTCTTTTTTTTTTTTTTTTTCTTTTTTTTTTTCTTTCTTCCAAGTGGCTTGTGAGGGTAGAGGGGAAAGGGCTGAGCTATACCCTGGTGGTCGAATGTCCATGGGGCAAATTTGTACTGTTTTGTCCTCCACTGAAGGTGTTGAAAGTATGCAAAGGCTGCATTCCTGTTAATGTATTTGGAATCATGGTTATGGTGTTGGGTGTCATTAGCGGGATGTCGTCTGGGGACCTTCTCAAAGTAAGCGTGTAGTCAGGCGGACAGGTTAGTCTCAGCGTGTCATGGGCCTGCAGTGACTCACACTCGTGGTCATGTTCTAGCTGTTTCATCTGCAACGACATAATCTCTTCATTTTGTATGTGTGCGATATCATTGGTCGTGTTCCTCTGGGGGCTAGGGCGCCTGTGAGTCTCGTGACGCCGCTTGTCCTTCTTGTAATATAATGCAGCAAAAGCTAAAATATTGAGAAACAGCAAAGATGCCCCCACAGCAATGGTGACACTCAGCTCTGTGGAGTAATCTCGCTTGTTTTCTATCAGAACTGTCGTATCCTCCGGAGCTGTTTTATGGGTGTCTTTTGAATGTTTGGGATTGTTGGCAGGTGTCATCGCTGGGCGTTTGGTGGCTGGCCACAATTTACCAGGAGAACGTCGTGTCACATAAGGAAATGATGTCATGTCAGGAGGGGGGACTTTGGTTGTTGTGGAAACATACTGAAATATTTCATTCAGGTTGTGAAGGTGTGGTACGAGCTCCAACCAGAAAGCAACTTTTGTTGCTCGGTAGTGATCACGAACACGGGGTTTCAGGCCAATATGCAGATAAAGCTGGTCTTTAGGATTATATTTGGACCAGGCCACTTCTTCAAAGCGGTTGGGTTTTGTGTGGATGAACTTTGTGTCCTGTGGAACAGGCTGGTTTGGATCTCTACAAAAATAAAAACAGGCAATATTATAGTCATTAAAAAACAAAAACAAAGACAAAAGCAAAACCCAAAACCCCCTCCATCCTTTAGTTAATGGTTTATCTGATAATTAATGTAACCTAAGAATAGAATCTAAAAAAGCCTCCCTAATTTAACAGCAGACATTAATATATAAACAAAAGAAAAATTACTTACTGTAGAGAATCTCAGACACTGTGATACTTTTTTACATGAAAACAGAGAAAGGGTTGTGTTTCAGCTCCCAAAAGCTCATCTGAAGTTCTGTGATTCATACTCCAAAATTGGCTTAGAGAAGTAGCAACTACCTTTCCCCATAGTAATGGTGTAGGTTCAGCTCTTCTCAAGGTTTGGAGATTAACTTTCTCATTTAAAGTACCACTACTTCCCACTGCTGTAAGTAGTAAATATGGGCATCTAACCCTGTGGCGATGTTGGAAGTTCGTGTGACCATAAGAATTTATACTAGCTGCATATATTACATTAAAAACTTCAAAATATGAAGTATCAGGGCTAATACATGTAACTGTGGACTATTTCTATTTGTGTTCCTTTACTGAGCTATTAGTCCCCTTTCGCTCAAATATCTACTTTAGGGAAAAGCCTTTGAAGTATTTGTATGTCACAAATCTTTCCATCGTTTGCATTAGCAGACTACTATTTGAAAGATCCATGTCCTCGTTAATAGTAAATAACTACGTTTAATGGCTGTAGGACAGTGAGCCTTAGTTCTGTCCCAGTTTGTAGGGAGGATAAATATATTAGTTGAGATCAACAAGGGTTATAGTAGTTAAGTAGTGGTAGAGATAAGAGTAGGACACTGCTCAGAGATAATTTCAAAATTGGTAACCCAAATATTTAATTGAAATTATGCTTTTCTCATGTTTTATTTTTTCTTTTTTTATAGGTTCAGAATAAAGGCAAACCAATGGCACAAAAAGCATTTAAATGTGCTTAGTGTCTAGGTATCCTTGTAATTTTCGCAAACCTTACATAAATACAACTTCCTCTTGTTATGAATCAATACAGAAATTTAAAATTTCTAATACTGAGTTTAATATTCTGTTGTACATGAGTCTGAGTCTTCTTTTGCAGCAAAGGCTATTGCCTGGGACTTTGTGATATATTATACTGAGAGTACATGATTCATTTTCTGTGCATTACTCTGAGAACTTCCCATTCTCCTTTCCACTCCCATATGCATTAGTTTATTTCCTGTGAAAATGTTTCTAATATTTTCTTTTTTTTCCAATATACTGTTATGTATGTTACGGGAATACCACGACCCACTGCTACGGATTTTAAAGCATTTTAGTTTTTTTTACATTTCCATTTTCAAAAGCTCATGAACATGATTCCCTAATTTAGCATTCCTTTGTTGTTCATAAAGAGCTGTTCCTTAGTTCTTAAACCAGACTGGTAATTTGACTTTAGTAATCTTATGATTCTTGTATTCATCTGTTTACCTGAAGGAATTTATCTTACTATTTTTTTGAGTGAAGAGAAGAATTCTTTTTCTACATAATTTTGGTACTTTGGTTTACTTATGCTTGTGCTTTTAGGTGTTTAGTGGGGTTATTTTTGTGGTTTGGGTTTTTTTTTTATATATATATTGTACTGCATCAAATCTTTCCCATCTCAATAACATACATATTAGGAGTCCAGAACTGTGGCTATTTCATCTATTGATCTACCTACCTACTTATCTATTTAATTTTCATTTTAAGTAGTAATAGTTAGCCAAGTTGTGTTAATTCTGAACAAAAAGATAATTGCATAGTAATTGTTCATCCCACTTGAAAGTAGAAGATTAATATCCACTTCCAGACAGTACAGCAGCAGATGTATGCTGCTGCTTTGAGGGATTCTAACATGCATCGAAGAAGGAAATAACAGTATTTCTTTTGTTCTTAAAGAACAGACTGAAAGATTTGGTAAATCCAGAGGAGAAGATATTGGCTCAATTCAATATATCTACTATTACAGTACTTTGGGGTTCAACACATAAATTCTAAAGCACATTAAAAATCAGCAAGATTATCAAAATGCAAAGCTTTTTTCTTCTCAGACACTCAAAATACTGCAAGAGTTACAGCACAAAGTCCATCTTGGTTCTCCCCGCTTGCTGTTCTGACTCACAGCGCAAAGGACTCCAGGAAGGATCCTACAGAAAACATACAACTTAAACTAGCTCATGTAAATGAGTTGCACTTGATACACAGTAGAGGAGATGAAACAGCCAAGCACTTATTTCAAGAAGCCAAGCTGGACATGCACTTTTTAAAATTTTTTTTTTTTGAATGGCCCTATAAAAATGAGAGCAGATGATGATTTTCACAACTAAACATTCTTTAAATTAGCATTCCCTTCCCCTACAAATGGCCTACAAACCAAGTAAATACCAGCTTCCTTTTCCTTTCCCTCTCTTCCGTTCTCTACCTCCATCTCTCCTTTTTAACTATATCTATTAGAAAAAGCCAATTATGCTGCTGCCTCCTCCAAACACAAGAGAGAAAATTACATTACATGAGGCTAGTCTTATATTTCAGGATTTGTTTACATGGCTGTGTGGGGGCATGAAGCCATCTGTTGAAATAAGGAACAGAAAAATTCAGCCAGCCCTACAGACAAGTAATTTTTTTGCTGAGGGTATCAGAACTCTACCATTGGCATCAACTCTAGGGTCAATCGCTAAATAACTGAATAAATGGTTTGAGTATTCTCTGTGAATTTGGAGGATAGGTATCTGAAAGACTTTTATTTTGTGTTGTTTTTTTTTTTTTCCCCACAAGAAAATGTAATAACTAAGTCCAGTCCTAAATAGAGGATCTAATAATGCATAGATCTTAGTTTTGCAGACTACTGATAATTTACCAAAAATATTCAGTGGATATAAGTAAGTGGATTTTTACTTTCCTTGGCCCTCCTCCTATGTACACTGGACACAGTTCATAAAATCATAAGGCCACAACTTATGATAGGATAAGTATTTTCCTTGGGTAGTTGGACAGTTTATCCTATTATGAACACTTTTGTGGTATTATAGATAGGCATAAAATATAGACGTACATACAATCATTTCTCCTATTGAATCAGCTGTTTTTGACAAATCTTCTATCTATTACTTTAAATTTCCTTTTGTTTTTTTTATTCTCTCACATCACCTTTGTGTTATTGGACATTCTTGAGGCTCAAGTGTGCAATTACAGAACAAAAGGCTAGGAAACCTTCCTTCAAAAACCCAGTGCAATCATGGTGATAAAAATATAATCTGAATAATATATTTTCAGTTCTGTACTTTCAGTAATGTCTCTCATATGGACTACATAACTTGTTTCCCAGTTCTACTAGTTGGCAGGGAGGCTTTTTTTCTTCTTCATCGTATTGCTAGAACAAAACTGATGATTATTGTTGCTCATTTTGCTCTCCGATTATTCATTTTTACCACCTTTAGAATTCACCTTAAACAGCTTCTCCATCAAAAAAGTGCCCCCATCATGAAATGCCTGACCTTGGCTTCCATATGATGGTCTTTCTTGTCTTATTTAGGGTATGTATTAATGTGCAGAATCATCTGATTTCACTTATCACTTCTTCCCCCCCTTTCAGTCTGCACTGATTTTGCTCAATTTAACGTGTTGCTGTTTATTGCCATTTAATTCACATCTCATGGGCTACAAATCTACATTCAAAACATTGATTTTTTTCTCAGATGATATAAAGTAATTGTTTCTGTAATGGTTGCCGACTGAAGAGCAACACACATTCCTGTTCACAAGGTGAATTAGTAGATGACCTTGAAGGCAAATGAGGGAACTGAGTATTTCGTATCTGGTGATATTGGCATGGGAAGTATGATGGGGAATCTTAAGAAGTTTTCTCTTATCCTGAATTCCATATAACATGTTGAAATACCATTCATCTTTTGAATACTTCTGCAACAGCATTAACTATCACTCAGGACAATGAAACTGTTAACATTAATGCACTTAAGTGTTTTGTTCTTTTGTGTTGTTCTTTAACTTCATTGGAGAGCAAAAGATCTCAACAGTTACATACTGAGTCTGCCTCCAAGACACTGAAAGGTCCCTTGATCATTTATTTTCTTTCATCAGTCCTCTTTTCTCCATATGGGGAAAAAAAAAAAAAAAAAAAAAAAAAGAGAAGAACTGTGTGGCATTTCTTTATGCTTCCACTGATTTTTCATGTTGTCACAATACTAATAATGATACAGCCATTCCTGCCTGAAGCACTGGTACACAAGCGTATTTTCCCTTACCTCCTTTCCTCACTTATCACCAGTTCCCACTGTTGCCATGCTCCCAGTCAGCTATTATAACTACTAAGGAAAGCAAACCATAAGAAGTAGATTGTTTTGTTTGACTAACACAGATTTACCATTGCAGACAGTTATTTCTTCAGACAAAAACATCAAAAAGAAATGCAACAGCATCATAAAGGAATTCACAGAGAATTGATTTGAAAATATGCTTTAATCATTGTAAGTTTAAATTTGTCTTCTATTAGAAAGCCAAACAATGTAAAACATAGACATCCTTAAAAACTCAGGTTTTTTCTTCAGAATCGATGGTAGTAAAATAATTCAGGAGTATTTGTCTTATTTACAAAGAAAACAAGAATATATCCTTTAGGTCTTTATCTTTCCCATCACCAGTCTAGGTAGGGCTGGATGAATGAGGTCAAAAATAGAGTATTGTAGCTCCTCAAAAGAAGGTAATTTTTAGAAACCCAACAGATGCCTCTAATGAGAGCATGGCTTTGTATCTACTCTATGAAACTTCAACTCCTTCTTCACGAGAGTGTAGCTGGCAGAGTATCTGTGAGGGACTGGCACAGATCCCCTCATGTCATTCACTCTCCTCCTGCTGATGTGTCTGCGAAAGATGTAACATGGCCCCAACTAATAGAACATTTGAGGATACAAAATTACGATTACAGTAAGGATAGTGCTACTGGCAGCAGA